AGAATGACTTAGTCAAAACAGCAAGAGTACCTTGAACGTCGCGCAGCGTATCGTGCAGACCGTCAATCGGATTAAGCTGAGAATTTCCTATATCGAAGCTCACTCTAAGAGCTTTAAAATAAGCCAAGTTGCCTCGCGAAAAGTTCTGCCATTACGAAGTTATGGCTCGGAGAGCGTTAGCCTAGCGTTGGAGTGCTAGCATACTAGCGTTGACTCAGGTAACATTCCGCCGTCGCACCGCGTAGAAAGGAAATTCCAGCAAGGAAGGAATTCGCTTGAATCAATTTCACTATATACAGGTACAAACAGAGAAGGAATATGTAGTCCTAGCTAGCAAGGACCTTGGGAATCAACCTGGGAAGAACCAGGGATGATCCCAAATAATTCCAAGCAACAGAACCAACCTGGCTGGACAAAACAGCAGGTGGTAGGTTGGTTAACAACCTCTGGTTCTGTTTTTCCAACCTGGGAAAACAACAACCATGTTCAGGTCCTAAAAACAGAACCTGTTTTGTCTTTGCCCAACCAGCCAAATGCTGGTTCCGCTGGTTTCCCCTGGCCCTGTAGCATGCAGATACAGACAAACAACATCCAACCTTCACCTAAATTGTACCCCTATAGTGCCTGCCCTGCTACACTATAGTCAACCAGACAAAACAGTACAATTTCGAGCTGGATAGAACTAAATCTGCACAATCAATTCAACCGAACCGCAAAGCTTTCATCTTGGGTTCCTTTACGAGCTTGTCCTTTCTCCTTGTACTGTTCACAGCGCGTACAATGTTGTGCCGAAGCGCATAATGCACGAGTACCTGCAAATGCTTCAAGCAAAAATTGCGAAAGCAAACAAACACACCAACATTTCATTCACACCCAAATGCATTCGCACACGTTTATTCATATAAACAGACGGCAGGATGTCGTGCAATGTGAATTTGCACCCAACATGTAAGAGGAGGGAGAGGAGGTAGCTGCAGAGGGTGGTGATGGAAAGAAGGTACAGGAGGCACCTGCTGGTGGAGAAAATGATGTGGAGACTAGCACTAGTAGAGCTGCAAGATCCGAGGGAGGAGAGCAGCAGTAGGGAAAAACTAAGAAGTCGAAGGGTGTTGTTATGAGGGGATGGGAGACACCCGTCTCCAGGCTAGGACGTACCCGTATGGCTACTGAGAAGCTGACTGCAGGAGCTGATGTAGCAGAGCAGCAACTTGGGACAGAGGAGGCATTGCTGATTCTACCGCATGGCTATGATCCGGATGAGGAGGATGAACCTGCCTACTGTTTTCTTGCCCCTGCACCAGGGGAACCAGCTAGCATTAGCTGGCCCAGATAGGGAGAAGTGGCTGGTTTCCAGGGATGCTGAGTACCAGAGCCTGCTAGGGAATGGGACATGGGAGTTGGTGGTGCTGCCTGAGGGGAAGAAAGCCGTACAGTGCAAGTGGGTGCTAAGGATCAAGACCGATGACAAGGGACAGGTCACCATCTACAAGAGTAGGCTGGTGGCTAAGGGGTTTATGCAGAAGGAGAAGCGGGACTTCAATGAGATCTTTGCTCCCACTGCCAAACCCCCTACCCTTTGTTTCTTGTTGGCAGATGCAACGGTTAGTGGGAAATTCATCATTCCGATGGATATATCTATGGCATTCCTCAATGGCATTTTAGAGGAGGATGCGTACATGACGCAGCCGCCTGGGTATGAGGGTGGTACGGGCAGGGTGTGCAAGCTGAAAAAGTCCATCTACGGCTTGAAGCAGGCGCCACGCTGCTGGTACTAGAAGTTGGCAGCTGTTTTAGAGGAGATGGGATTCAGGACCAGCATCTGTGATGAGAGCCTCTTTCTCAAGGGGGAGGAGGAGAAGCTGGTGCCGTTTCTGGTCTATGTGGACGATTTTCTTCTCTTTAGCAGCAGCATGAAGGAGATCTAGAAGGTGCAGCAACAGCTGATGGAGAACTTCAAGTGCAAGAACCTTGGGGAGGTAAAGTACTATCTCGGGATGCATGTGGAGAGGGATCTGGATCACAGGTGGTTGAAGCTGCACCAGGAGAAGCTCATCAAGGAGCTGGGGGAGAAGTACGGGATTGAGAATGAGCGCAAGGTTGCAACTCCCCTGCCAGCAGAATTCAAGCTTGTGAAAGCTGCAGAGGATGAAGGGGTTGAAGCCGAGGAGCAGCACCAATTTCAGTCCTTGGTGGGCAGCCTCTTGTATGCAGCAGTTCACACAAGGCCCGACATCTCTTTCTCGGTTGGGCAGCTCGCTAGGGTGGTGCAGAATCCATCAGAAAAGCAGGTAGATGCAGCTGAGCGTGTGGTGAAGTATCTGAACTCTCACCCAAGCATTGGAGTTCAATACTCCGCATCTGCACAGGTGAAGCAGAAAGGGGTTGAGATGCAGAAAGAGAAGGGGGAGAGGCTTGGAGAAGGCAAGCTCTTTCTCACTTGCTTTACCGATGCTACGTGGGCCTCTGAGAAGGAGGATTCCTCATATGTGGGAGGATACATCTGCGTAGTTGGAGGAGGACCTGTTAGTTGGAGAAGAAGCAGACGGGGACAGCACTCTCTTCTGTGGAATCAGAGTACATGGCGATGTTCCATGGGGTGAAGGAGGTGATCTGGCTGAGGAGGCTGTCAGAGGAGATTGGCTAGGAGCAGAAGGTTGCTACGCCGCTGTTCTGTGATAGCAAGGAGTCTCTTGGGATGGCCAAAAACGCTGTGCTTCATGGGCTCAATAAGCACAAGCGTATCAAGTAACACTGGCTGCATAAGGAGGTGAAGAGGGGGACAATGAATCCGATCTACATCAAGACTCACCAGCAGCCAGCAGACTTCCTCACCAAGAGGCTTGTGGATGAGCCTCATTGGCTTTGTGTGCGGATGAGTGGAATGAGCATGGACAAGTATGGAATGATGGGAATGCAGCCGGCAGGCTAAGGAGGAATGTGTTGGGTGCAAATTGACATTGCACGGCATCGAGCCGTCTGTTTTTATGAGTATGCGTGTGCGAATGCATTTGGGTGTGAATGGAATGTTCGTGTGTTTGTTTGCTTTCGCAATTTTTCGCTTGAAGCATTTGCAGGTACTCGCGCATTATGCGCTTAAGCACAACATTGTACGCGCTATGAACAGTACAAACAGAAAGGACGAGCTCGCAAAGGAACCCAAGATGGAAGCTTTGCGGTCCGGTTGAATTGATTGTGCAGATTCAGTTCTATCCAACTCGAAATTGTACTGTTTTGTTTGGTTGACTATAGTGTAGCAGGGCAGGCACTATAGAGGTACAATTTAGGTGAAGGTTGGATGTTGTTTGTCTGTATCTGCTTGCTACAGGGCTAGGGGAAACCAGTGGAACCAGCATATCGCTGGTTGAGCAAAGACAAAACAGGTTCCGTTTTTAAGACCTGAACCTGGTTGTTGTTTTCCCAGGTTGGAAAAACAGAACCAGAGGTTGTTTACCAACCTACCACCTGCTGTTTTGTCCACCCAGGTTGGTTCTTTTGCTTGGAATTTTTTGGGATCATCCTTGGTTGTTCTCAGGTTGTTTCCCAAGGTCCTTGTTAGCTTGAGCGATTTATTCCTTCTCTGTTTGTACCTGAATATGGTTAATTTGATTCAAGCGAATTCCTCCCTTCCTGGAATTTCGTTTCTACGCTATGCGACGGCGGAATGCTACCCGAGTCAACTCTAGTACGTTAGCACTCCAACGCTAGGCAAACGCTGTTCGTGCCATAACTTCCTAATGGCAGAACTTTTTGCGAGACAACTTGGCTTATTTTAAAGCTCTTTGAGTGAGCTTTGATATAGGAAATACTCAGCTTGATCCGGTCGACGGTCTGCACGATACGCTGCGCAACGTTCAAGGTACTCTTGTTATTTTGACTAAGTCATTCTTGATCACTCTCTCTACAATCTCGGACCCGAGGATAGGGGCTGGTCTTGTGCCAGGCACCCAAGGACCCTTGGAGGTGACCCCGAGGAGAGGTTTTAAGTTTGATAAAGTCTTAATAGCTTGAGTTTAATAGGCCCTTACACCAACTGAAAATCGGTGTGAAAATTGTCAAACTTATATGATATAGCTTCTCTATGCTATAGTGGGGTAGACACTATGGGGTACAGTTTCGTAGGGTTTCCTACTTGTACCCAACCCTGTGCTAGTTCATTGATTCCTCAATTCTTACATGGTATCAGAGCAGGTTCCCTAGTGGGACTTCATAGGGCCCATCATTGAACATCGATTTTTTTTCTGCCCTAAGATCGAGTCGCCCCTGACCGAGGCGCGCCCTGTGTGCGGCCCTCCCCTTAGCGACCCATCGTGCCGCCCTTTGCGGCCCTCGCCCTCCCTCTCTGCTCCTCGTGATGCTGTTTACGCCCTCCTAGCGGCCCGTCGCGCCGCCCTCATCGGCCCCGTCGCCACCCTATCGCGGCCTCGTTGTCGCCGTATCGCGGCCCCGTTGCCGCCCTATCGTGACCCCGTCGCTGCCCTCTTGCGGCCTCGTCGCCACCCTATTGTGGCCCCATCGCCTCCCTCTCGCGGCCCCGTCACCGTCGTTCGCGGCCCTCTTGCGGCCTTGTCGCCGCCCTCTCGCGGCCCCGTCGCCGCCGCCCTTTTGCGGCCTCGTCGCCGCCCCTAGCGGCCTTGCTACCGCTCCTAAGCGACCCCGTCGCCGCCCCTATGCGGCCCCAAAGCCGCCTCCTACGCGGCCTTGACGCCGCCTCTACGGAGCCACCGAGCAGCAGAGCCGCCGAGCCGCCCAGCAGCAGAGCAGCCGAGCCGCCCGACAGCCGAGTTGCCCAGCAGCTGAGCCACCAAGCCGCCCTGCAGCCGAACCGCCGAGCCGCCCGACCGCCGAGCAGCCCAGCAGCCGAGCCGCCGAGCAGCCCAGCAGCCGAGTAGCCTGGCCGCCCGACCGCCGAGCCGCCCAGCAGCCGAGCCGCCGAGCCGCAGAGCCACCCGGTCCTACTTACTCGTATTGGTGAGCCTACTCCTTGCTAGACGTCTGCAGTCATGGCTACCTCCAGTGTTCTTACCTTTGACACTGAGGGCCATGCTGTTGACTTTGAGGTCTGGAACGATGACCTCCACTGTGATAGGGCAGGCGGCCTCTCTCTGTTCGACCTCACCTCTGGTGCCTCCCCTGCCCCGCCTGCTACAGCTAACAGCACCGTTCGTTCATAGTGGGCGACACGCGATGCTGCTGCTCGTCTTGCTGTGCGTCGCCATTTACCGACCATTGAGCGTGCACACTTTAGCCAGTACAAGAGTGCTCAGACCTTGTACGACGCTGTAATTGCATCCTACTCTCCCACTGCCACTGCTGCACTGAGCCGCCTGATGCTACCGTTCCTCTTCCCTGACCTTTGTGCTTTTCCCACAGTCGCTAACCTCATTACGCACCTCCGCACTAATGACACTCGCTACCGCGCTGCGCTTCCTGCTGATTTCTGCGCGAAGAACCCCCTCCCCCCCACCCCCCCCCCCCCCCCATGTACATCACCCTCTATTACATAGTCACCCGGCTCCCTGACTCTCTTCGCTTAGTCAGGGACCACTTCCTCTAAAATTGCCCCACCACTCTTACCGATGACTTTCTTGAGGAGCGGCTCCTAGCAGCAGAGAAGAGCATAGTCGCTGTAGGAGCCTTTCGTGGTGACCTTCGCACCCTCGTCTTTGAGGAGTGTTCTCCCTCCCCGCTCTTGCCTTCTGTTGCTTCTCCTGCTGCTGCCGACCTCATTGGTTTCGAGTCGTTCGGCGCTGCGTCTGCCCCTAGCAGGAGACGCCGCACTGGCAAGGGCAAGGGGGGCAAGGGAGCTAGAGGGGCTAGCGGGGGCGGTGGAGATGGTGATGGAGGCTGTGGAGGGGGTGAGGGTGGTGGTGGGAGTGGTGGTGGGGGTGGCGGCGGCGGTGGCAGCAGCGGAGGCGGCGGAGGTGGCGGAGGCGGCGGAGGTGGCGGAGGCGGTGGAGAAGGTGACGGCGGCGGTGGAGCTGGTCGTGACTCTGCGCAGAGGAGTGGGTCCGGTGGTGGTCCGCCCCAGCAGCAGCAGCGCGGTCGTAAGACCCTGCCCCCTCAGCAGCTTCGTGAGTGGTACCCTTCGCGTCAGCGTTGTGGGGGTACTGGTCCCTGCACCTATATCCTCCGTACCGCCGACCGCGCTGGTGAGCAGTACGGGGGCCCGCACTCCACCCAGCGCTGCTTCGGCCGCCTTACGAACGCGTGGCGTCACCAGTTCCCTGAGGCATCAGAGATCCATTGCTGGGGAGATCCGTCTTAGGCAGGGGTTGCCATCTTTGATCTTGACTATTATGCTATCCTTGCTGCCATGTATGCTGTGATTACTAGAGTTGAAGGTGACTCTTACCTGTGTGTACCGCCTGACCCAGGCATTGAGGCTACTGCTCTAGGTGCTGGTGAAGCTACTGCTCTAGATGCTAGTGCGTATGCTGCCCCAGGTGCTAGTGCGTCTGCTGCTCCAGGTGCTGGTGAGTCTGCTCTCTCACGTACTATGTCGGCTCAGGCCTTACACACCTTCACCCTTGACTCGGGTGCGTCCCGCTCCTTCTTTCGAGACCGCACCATGCTTACGCTGCTTAGTCGGCCAGTTGTAGTCTCCCTGGCGGACCCCTCTATGGGTCCTGTCCTTGCTAGCTTCTCCACTGTTTTACCGTGACCGTCAGCCCCCTCTGGCACCCTGTCAGGTCTCTACCTCCCCTCGTTCTCTACGAACTTGGTAAGTGGAGCTGACCTATAGGATAGGGGTGTTGACCAGTTCACTCCTGCGAGTCAGCGGGTGACCCACTACACGTGTGCTCGGAGTCCAGGTCTGGTCCTGAGTCTGCTCCCTGCTCGTGTCATCTCCTGTCTCACCAGACTCTTCTTTGGCACCACCGTCTTGGTCACCCCTCTGTGTTTCGTCTCCGAGGCATGGCCTCACGTGTCCTTGTCTCTGGTCTCCCCCAGTCTCTCCCTCCCCTTCCTCTGGGGCTTGGCCCTACGTGCATCCCCTGCGTCGAGGGGCGACAGTGCACCGGCCCCCACTCCTCCGAGTTTCCTTCGACTTAGGCTCCGCTGCAGACTCTCCACATGGACGCGTGGGGCCCCGCCCGCGTCCGTGGACAGGGGCACGAGCGTTACTTCGTGTTGGTGGTTGACGACTCCTCGCGTTACACCACGGTCTTCCCCTTGCGCAGCAAGGGTGACGTCACTGAGGTGTTGATCGACTGGATCCACGCAGCTCCTCTCCAGCTCAGGGAGAGTTTCGGCTCGGACTTTCCTGTTCTGCGTCTGCACTCTGACAGAGGCGGGGATTTTTCCTCTGCCCGTCTGGGAGCCTTTTGTCGAGCACAGGGCATCCGCAAGACCTTCACGCTTCCGGCCTCTCCACAGCAAGCTTGGATTGCTGAGCACCGCATTGGCATGGTCATGGACGTCGCTCATACGTCCATGATGCATGCGGGTGCCCCCCATTTTCAGAGCTGTTTGCTGTTCAGTATGCAGCGCACCAGCTCAACCTTTAGCCCCGAGTCTCCTTGCAAGAGATCTCCCCCACCTTGCGGTGGACGGGGAAGGTTGGCGATGCGTATGCATTTCGGGTCTGGGGATCTCGGGCATTTGTACGCGACTTGTCTGCGGACAAGCTGTCCCCCCGTGCCGTTCCCTGCATCTTCCTTGGCTTCCCCCCTAACGCACCTGGTTGGCAGTTTTACCACCCAACCGCGCCCCTCCCCCCGTCGCCGCTCTTCCTTGCGCCAGGTCCTCCCCCGGTAGACCACCTCCCCCCTCAGGGTCCTGCCCCGTCAGATGTGTCTCAGGTAGACGCAGTTGAGCCTGTCGAGGTAGCTATTGACTCTGGTGCTGCTAGAGCTATTGAGCATGCGGGTGCCGGGTCTGGAGGTGCTAAGTGTGGGGGTGCTGAGCCTGGGGGTGCTGAATCTGGGGGTGCTGAGTCTGGAGGTGCTCCGTCGGGGAATGCTAAGCCTGGGGGTGCAGAGTCTGGGGGTGCTGAGCCTGGGGGTGCTGATTGTGGGGGTGCGGAGCCTGGGGGCGCTGGGTCGGCTCGTGTGGCCGCGGAAGGTGCTTCGTCGAGGCGGGAGCCACTCTCTCCACAGGAGCTGCGCGAATGGTTTGCCCGGCGCTGGAGCCGTGCAACAGGAGCTGGAGGTTCTACTATTGCTGCTGGTTCTGGAGGTGCTCGTACTAGCGGTACAGGAGCTGCTGGGACAGGGGGTGCTGCTGGGGCTGTTGGAGTTAGCTCTGCTGGAGGTACTGCTGGAGCTGCTGGCGGTACTTTAGCTGACGGTCCTGCTGAAGTTCATTTTGCTAGAACTGCTGGGGATGTTGGCGCTGGTGGTTCTGCTGGCGCTGGTGCTTCTGAGGATAGTGGAGTTGGCGCTGTTGGAGCTAGCGGTGCTGCTGGCGCTGGTGCTGCCGCTTGGGGTGCTGGTGCTGTCCCTGCTGGTTCTGGAGGCGCTAGGCGGCCGAGGCCGTACTTCGTTCCGCCCCTTGAGCAGGTTCTTGGTCTCCCGCCCTCTACTGGTCCTGCTCCTCTCTTAGAGTGTCCACAGCCTGTCCAGTCGCACTCACAGTTGCAGCCCGCCTCCCCCCTACGTGCTCCTTCTCACTACATGTTGGTGTAAGGGCCTAATAAACTCAAGCTATTAAGATTTTATCAAACTTGAAACCTCTCGTCGGGGTCACCTCCAAGGGTCCTTGGGTGCCTGGTACAAGACCAGCCCCTATCCTCGGGTCCGAGCTTGTAGAGACAGGGAACAAGAAGGACTAAGTCAAAATAACAAGAGTACCTTGAACGTCATGCAGCGTATCGTGCAGACCGTTAACCGGATTAAGCTGACAATCCCCTATATCGAAGCTTACTCGAATAGCTTTAAAATAAGCCAAGTTGCCTCGCGAAACATTGTGCCATTTCGACATTATGGCTCGAACAGCGTTTTCCTAGCGTTGGATTGCTAGCGTACTAGCGTTGACTCGGATAGCATTCCGCCGTCGCATTGCGTAGACACGAAATACCAGGAAGGGAGGAATTCGCTTGAATCAAAATTTACTATATTGAGGTACAAACAGAGAAGGAAAAATTTGCTCTAGCTAGCAAGGACCTTGGGAATCAACCTGGGAAGAACCTGGGATCATCCCAAATAATTCCAAGCAGCAAGACCAACTTGGCTGGACAAAACAGCAGGTGGTAGATTGGTAAACAACCTCTGGTTCTGTTTTTCCAACCTGGGAAAACAACAACCAGGTTCAGGTCCTAAAAACCAGTCAAATGTTTGTTCTGCTGGTTTCCCCTGGCCCTGTAGCATGTAGATACAGACAAACAACATCCAACCTTTACCTAAATTGTACCTCTATAGTGCCTGCCCTGCTACACTATAGTCAACCAAACAAAACAGTACAATTTCGAGTTGGATAGAACTGAATCTGCACAATCAATCCAACCGAACTGCAAAGCTTCCATCTTGGGTTCCTTTGCGAGCTCCTCCTTTCTGCTTGTACTGTTCATAGTGCGTACAATGTTGTGCCGAAGCGCATAATGCGTGAGTACCTGCAAATGCTTCAAGCAAAAATTGCGAAAGCAAACAAACACACGAACATTCCATTCACACCCAAATGCATTCGCACAAGCATACTCATACAATGAGACGGCAGGATGTCGTGCAATGTGAATTTGCACCAATAACGACACTGGTCCTATTGGAGGTCTTGCTGAGCGTCGTGAGCCTGCGTCTCGTCTTGCGTCGCCTGTTTGTGCTGCTCCCACTAGTCGTCGTGTTCCGCGTCCGCGTCCTCCTGAGGTCCCAGGCACATACCAGATGGCACTGCTTCCTTCTACTGCTCCTCTGCGTGTCCCGTTGCCGTCTCATCCAGAGTCCTCTTTTTGTGTTCTTGCTTACCCTGAGTCTAACTCTCTTCGTGCTGCCAGTCCTACTGTCACGCGTCTCCTGGCCACTGTAGTCACTGACCCTTTCTTTGAGTCCACTGCTGCGTTTGCCTTGGTTGCCGAGCTTGTCGACTTCGCTGCTCGCTGTCTTGTAGACCATGCCGCTAGCCTTGCTGAGTCTGAGTCTGTCTGTGCTCCGTCCGTCGGGGGTGAGTGTGCTCTTAGCACGGACGTCCTTGAGGACAGGCAGGAGGAGTTCCAGTAATTTGCTGCTGCTTTGCCTCATGTCATGTCCACGCTGATTGCCCCTGAGGGAGACCAGGATGCACCAGACATCCCGACTCCTCGATCGTACGCTGAGGCGATCGATGGTTCCTACTCCTCTCAGTGGTAGTCAGCCATGGACCCAGAGATGGCTTCCTGGAACTCCACAGGCACCTACGTTGACAAGGTTCCCCCACCTGGGGCGAACATCGCTTGTGGCATGTGGATTTTCAGGGTGAAGCAGCCGCCAGGTTCTCCGCCTGTCTTCAAGGCGCGTTACGTGGCTCGAGGCTTTAGTCAGCGGCACGGAGTTGACTACTTCAGACCTTCTCTCCCACCCCGAGGATGACCACTCTTCGGGTGCTGCTGCACATAGCCGCTCAGCGCGATTACGAGCTTCACTCTCTTGACTTCAGCACAGCTTTCCTGCAAGGCAGCCTGCACGAGGAGATCAGGTTGCGCCGCCCACCTGGCTTCACTGGGTCGTTTCCTCCTGGTACCCAGTGGAGCCTCCGGCGGCCAGTCTACAGTCTCCGCCAGGCGCCCCGTGAGTGGCACAATACACTGAGGACTACACTTGCGGCTCTTGGGTTTGCTCCTTCTACAGCAGACCTTTCGCTGTTTCTGCGCACTGACACCTCTTTGCCGCTTTTCTACATCCTCGTGTATGTCGACAACTTGGTCTTTGCCACTGTTGACACTGCTGGACTCGCCCACGTGAAGTCCGAGCTGCAGAGGAGACACACGTGCACAGACCTGGGTGAACTGCGCAGCTACCTTGGCTTGCAGATCACTCGGGACAGAGCACAGCGCACCATTACCCTGACTCAGTCGCACATGGCGAGCAGGTCTTTCAGCGCTTCGACTCCTCGTACTCCTTGCCTCAGGCCACTCCTCTGTCTAATCGCCACTCCCTCTCAGCTCTGCCTTCTGATGAGTCCGTAGAGTCTAGTACCCCGTACCCAGAGCTTGTTGGCTGCCTCATGTACCTGATGACCTGCACACGACCGGACCTTGCATACCCTCTTAGTATCTTGGTACGCTATGTTGCTCCTAGGAGACACAAACCAGAGCACATGGCTGCAGCGAAGAGGGTGTTGCGCTACTTGTGCAGTACGTCGGGCATGGGGCTAGTGCTTGGAGGGGGACATCGAGTGGTCCTCACCGGTCACGCAGATGCTTCTTGGGCTGACGACCACGCTACTCAGCGGTCGTCACAGGGTTACACCTTCAGCCTTGGCTCCGACTCTGTCTCGTGGCGGTCTACCCGCTCGTCTTCTGTTCTCAGCTCCAGTTGTGAGGCTGAGATCTACGCAGGGGCCATGGCTGCACAAGAGCTAAGCTGGCTCACCTACCCGCTGACTGACCTAGGAGAGCCCCCTCGTTCTCCTCCAGTTTTGTACGTAGAGAACAAGGCCATGCTGGCCTTGTGTCGGGAGCACAGACAGGAGCACAGAACGAAGCACATTGCTCTTCGCTACTTCCTTGCTCGTGAGCTGCAGCAGCGTGGT